AATCATATGAGTTTTCAGATGTCATTTTTGAATAGTGTTGAAAGGTTATGTTTTCACAAGGTAAGTCCTGTGTCTACTGGACCCTGGGACTTGCACTGCTGCCTGACAGTTGCTTCATCGCCTCAACTTTAAATGATTTATGGTTGTCAGAGTACTGTGAGGAATCAGGAATGACTTGTGTGCCCCAAACTTACTAACTTTCCAAGGAACTCACCATGTCATGGCACTGGGACCTATGTAAGGGGGCTTGAAGCCTTATGTAGGGGCAAAGTTGAATGTCGCTTATGGAATGTATCGTGGCACAGGAGGTAGTGAATATCTCTGGGCACTTGCATTAAATCCAGGCTAAGTTAAAAAGCACATCCATAGCTTGCCGTAAAGGTTTTCTATTTCTAAATGGGAATGCACAGAGTGACTGCTATGTACTCTGATGCCGTTTCCAGTGGTGCAGTTACTCTAGGACGAAAGTAAAGGTAAAATGCTTAGGTATCATTTTAGAAAGGCTACCTCAGGGTCAAATCTTGGGAGAAATTCTCAGTTTAGGTGGCTTAGAGGAAGGCACTAATATATTGAAAACGAAGCTAAACATGAAGTTCAAATCCATTTGAGTTATCTTTGTGACCTTGGAAAAGTGACTTGGCTTTTTAAATCTGTAAAATGGAGGTTTTATTATCTCACAGGTTGTTGGGGTTAAAGAAATCTGCTAAAGGACCAGACAGTCATTGAGTCCCTGGCACAGAGTTAGTATTTAAAGTTCTCTTTTACAGAGCAAACCCGCCACACTGAGTAAGGCATGGTGAGATTTAGTCAGTGCAGTATTCTGAGTAGTGGGTTCGAGCATGCCAGGAGAATGTGGTTGCCCTCACGGTGTATTAACCAGACCTCATTTGCTAGACATAGGTCTTTTTCTTTAAACTTTGGATGCAGAGTTGAATTAATTATATCCCATTAGTGTCCAGGTTCCCTATTATCCAACAGTGAGGGCTCCTTGGTATTAATTTTGCTCCTTCATCCTGTTTTCTACCATTCTCCCCACACAAGGACCCAATCTGTTGTGTTTGACACATCTTTAAATCTATAGCCTGAGAAAATGGTGTAGTGCTTTGCATGTGGTATGTTTTTAATTTATGCTTAACTGAATGTACATGATATTGTGCTATAGTTGTTCTCAGTTTCATTTTTCATTCAACATTTTTTTACTCCACATCTAGCAACATCTAGTTCATTGCTTCTGACTGCTGCCTTGTATTCTATAGTGTGTGTCTACCACACTGTCCTTACCACTTTCTCTAGAGCTGGCACCTTGATTGCCTCCAACTCCATATCATCATACCAGCCAGCACTGTTAATGCATACCTCACGTATATATATGAATGTATATAAATGTATACATTTATGTCACCTTTTAATTTGTCATCTCCTTTACCTGGTGGGGGCATGGGAGGCAAAGAGAACAGCATGTTTACTGACTTGTAAAATACTAATACTATCTCTATTTAAATAAATATTTCATTTTTGAGACAAGGTCTTGCTCTGTTGCCCAGGCTGGATGCAGTGGAACGATCACTGCTTACTGCAGCCTCGACCCCACAGGCTAAAGTGATCTTCCCGCCTCAGCCTCCCCAGTAGCTAGGACTACAGGTCTGTGCCACCATGCCTGGCTAATTTTTTTTTTTTCTTCAGGTAGAGAGTCTCACTATGTTGCCCAGGCTGGTCTTGAACTCCTGGACTAAAGCAATTGTCATGCCTCAGCCTCCCAAAGTGCTGGGATTATAGGTGTGAACCACCCGGCCTCTTCATTTATTTAATTAGCTACTTCTTCCAGGCTTCAGAAGACACCTTAGTTCTGATTTTGGGTTTGTGGAACAATCCATTATCTCACTTCTGTCCACACTGTAATTTTGTAAAATTCAATTAATTTGCTTTCCTGCAGTAGAGTTCTATTTGCGGGATGGAGGATGGAGGGGGGCACAGCAAACAAAAAGAGATTTAAACCTTATCTCCTGATAGTTAAGTGAACGAGACAAGAAACATGGACAAATGGACTTGTTATTTTAGGGGAGCCTCTTGGTGGTACAAGAAAGTGTGATGTCTTTGATATTTTATTAGCTTGTCATCCCTTTGGGGTGTGTTTATCTTTCTTTCTCTAGGTGCACCCTGTTCCCCACTCGGTTTTCTGTATTGGGATTTTTTGGGTTTGCTGGTCCATTCACACATAGTCATTTACTATCAGTTCTCCCTGTTTCGGTGTTTTCACAGCTACATGTCCCTTTTCTGGTATCTTATGCCTATCACATTGGAGAAATGAACACATGCGTGTGGGCAGAACCTGCCAAACAAAGATCCAAGCGTAAAGCCTAGGGAATGCTTCTGTTCTTACATTTCTCTCCCCTCACTGTGGTATTGACATAGTGCTTTTGTTCCTCCAATTTTTAAAAAATCTTCGTGGGTGCACAGGAGGTGTATATTTATGGGACACTTGAGATGTTTTGATACAGGCGTGACATCATTATTTCTTCAAATTTTTATTCTCCACATTTCCTTTTGATGAAAAGAATCGAATCTGTATTGACATACACCGGGCGTCCTGCCACAGCACCTATTGTCCTTGAAACAGTTATCTAAACTTACAATGGGTGCCAGAGTCGTCATGTTAAATGTTCTTCCGCCGGCACGGTGTCTCACGCCTGTAATCCCAGCACTTTGGGAGGCCGAGGCGGGCGGATCACGAGGTCAGGAGATCGAGACCATCCTGGCTAACACGGTAAAACCCCGTCTCCACTAAAAATACAGAAAAGTAGCCGGGCGTGGCGGCGGGCGCCTGTAGTCCCAGCTACTCGGGAGGCCGAGGCAGGAGAATGGCGGGAACCCGGGAGGCGGAGCTTGCAGTGAGCTGAGATCGTGCCACTGCACTCCAGCCTGGGTGACAGAGCGAGACTCCGTCTCAAAAACAAAAACAAAAAAGGTTCTTCGTGAGTGCCAAGCCAGCGCTGGCTGCTGCAGCTGGCTACCAGCAACTTGTGTGGAGCCTTTCCTCCTGGGAGGCATCGCAGGACCTGATGGTGCTGGCGAGTGTTTGTCAGTCTTTAGCTTGAGACATCAAGACTGGGATCAAAAGTGAGAGCACGTAAAGTGAGAGAACATAATCGTGTCCCTTTCCACGCGTGTTACAGAAACCCCTAGCTGCTTTGCTGCCCGTCTACAGACTGGACAGTGTCGATTTAATCTTTCTGCTTTGTGTAGTAGGCATTTGTGTTTTACTGAGTATAAAGTGCCACTTTATGATTCTCTACTGTGGGGTATAGATGGTATTCCTATTTTACAGATGAGGAAATAGACCCAGAGTAGTTCAGTAACTTTTTTAAGGAGACAAAAAAGGAAGCCAGAGATGACGATTTCTTGTTCTGCATTTTTTTTTTTTTTTTTTTTTTTTTTTGAGACAGAGTCTCGCTCTGTCACCCAGGCTGGAGTGCAGTGGCACAATCTCGGCTCACTGCAACCTCCACCTTCTGGGTTCAAGCGATTCTCCTGCCCCAGCCTCCTGATTAGCTGGGACTACAGGCACATGCCACCACGCCCGGCTAATTTTTGTGTTTTTAGTAGAGACAGGGTTTTGCCGTGTTGGCTAGGCTGGTCTTAAGTTCCTGACCTCAAGTGATCTGCCCACCTCAGCCTCCCAAAGTGTCCTGCATTCTTAATATTGCAGCATACCTATGCAGTGTCCTCAGCGTCCTCCCAGCCTAAGGAGTACACTTGGGGAGAAGGTGGGGCTATAAAAATGTACTCAAGTCCATTAGATTTACAGCAGCTGTGCAAAAATCTCATTTTAAATCCAAAAATACATACAATCTTACATTTACATTAATACATGAAAGAAAATATCACCTTTTCTTCCCTAGAAGGTGATCAAATTTTGCCCCAATTTTGGTTATTTGTGGAGTCTTCATTGTTAAGCTGTTTTCCTTCACCTTGATTATCATTTCCAAACTCTGTTAAGATCTCATTGAACGTTATTAATTTGGAATTCACAATAATTCATATGTGGGAGTACAGGTAAGAGCTGTGTTACCAACTTTCAATGTGCAGTCATTTTTGCAAGAGAATTGCTGGCAGTCCTAGAGAAATTTGTAAGAGCGTTGAAGAATACATGTCATTTAATTCAGATTCTTTTGCAATTGGCATATTAGTTATTTATGACACTGAAATTGATGGAGATTAAGATTTGATTAGCTTGTTAATGCTGCAAACAGTTAAAATTTTAGAATACTTATTTATTTATTGTTTGTGAGGCACACTTGTTCTCCTAATCTGTTCTCTCCTCATGCATGTGGCTTATCAGGCAGCAACTATGTTTCCCAGCCCCACCTCCAGCAAGGCGTGGTCATGTGACTAAGTTTGGACCAGTGGTTGTGCACAGAGGCAATGGATGGAACTTGACTACAGATCCTCACAACTCTGAGATAAGCGGCTTTTCTACTTGCTGCCTGTTTTTCCTCTCCCGAGCTGGAAGTGAGGTGCACCAGCATTACCCATGGAGATAAGGACTATACCTCAGGGAAAATGGCAGAGCAATAGTATGGAAGGACATTAGGGAGCAGAGGTGCTCTGCCAACTGGAACTGGCTGGACTGTTAGTGAAGTAAATTGAAGCCATTGTGTTGTGATGTTTTAGTTACAGTAACCTAGCTTATAATCTGATAAAGAGTAAAAATTCATGATAATGCTAATATGATCTGGCATAATTCAAATTTAGCTGGAATTGGCAATTGCTGTCTCTTATCTTCCCTTTGCCCCTGTTCTCAATCTGAAGTGGGCTAAATTTTTTGTTTTGTTATGTTTTGTTTTAGATGGAGTCTCACTCTGTTGCCTAGGCTGGAGTACAGTGACACAATCTTGGCTCATTGCAACCTCTGCCTCCTGGGTTGAAGTGATTATCCTGCCTCAGCCTCCCAAGTAGCTGGGATTGCAGGCGCACACCACCATGCCCAGCTAATTTTTGTATTTTTAGTGGAGACAGGGTTTCACCATGTTGGCCAGGCTGGTCTCGAACTCCTGATCTCAGGTGATCCTGCTTCAGAGTGCTGGGATTACAGGCATGAGCCACCATGCTTGGATAGAAGTGAGCCAAATTCTTATACAGGGTTGGGTTTGGGGACAGTTAGGAAGTGCTTCCTTCATGATCATTCAGGACTTTCTCAGGTCAATATTTTCAATATTAATTTCTTTTGGAGACTATACAGACAGAAAAATAATATTTTTCCTTCACCTCATATGGCAACTTCACAACATGCCAGCTAATTCTTTGACATTTCTTCCCTGGAGAAGTGGAGTCTGTCTCGCCTTGATATTGGGCTGGTCTTTATTACTTGTTCATATCCAATTAAATGCAGCAGAAATACAGTTCAGCTCCCAGTTGGCTTCCTTGGACTCTCGGCCAGTGTAAGAAATCTGATGACGCCAGGGAGTCATGCTATGTGGGATCCCAGGCCACATGGAGAGATCACATGTAGGCTGTCTATTTGATGTCCCAGCTAAAGTCTCAGTCAACATCTAGCACCAATTGCCAGCATCTGAGTGCACCATCTTGCATGTCCAGCCCAGTTGAGCCTTCAGATGACTGCTGCCCCTACCAACATCTCACAGCAATCCTGGAACAGACCCGAGCAAGAACTATCTAGATGAGGCCTTCCAAAATTCTTGACCCATGGAGTCCATTAGCATAATGAAATAGTTTTACAACACTAAGTTTGCGCAGCAATAGCACCTGGAACACCTCACTGTTACACCATCACGTACGTTACACGGTTGAATCTTGGATTCCACTTAAACACCTTGTGGTGGAGCTTTCCTGTCAATGTTGTTTTAAGGGCAAGGACTTTACATACATTATCATACCTTATTTAATCATCACAGCCCACCTAAGAAGTAGATACAATTATTATTTCCGCTTTACAGCTCAGGAATACTGGGCATAACAGCCCAAGGTCACACTGCTCTTAATTACTGTGCTTTCTATTGTCAGTGCTGGAACATGAGAGGCTTCAGGAGTCAGAATTTGAGACTTTCATGACATATTTGAACTGACCTCGGTCATTTCCCTCCTATCGTGGTTACACAGCAGAATCTGGGCATAAAGAAACTCAGCCATGGTATGCATTAGTAATTGACAGAGTAAGGTAGAAACATATTTCTCTAAGTGTGTGTGCTAGCCACTGTGCTACTCTGCAACGTCAAACCGTTTTCAACTCCTTAAAAAATTCTTTGGTATAAACTGTTATTTACTGAGTAAGCATGATGCATTTCTTTAGAGGAAAAGAATGAATCTATATTTAGCATATACCTAAACCTATATTAAAAGCATTAAAACTATATTCAAGAATACATTTATTTAAGAATCTGTGCTTCTTAAAAAAAACCCTACATTTTAAATTTCGTTGAATAGGACTTCTAAGTTGTGAATTGAAAGCATTCTGCTTTATTATTAATCACCACATTTGGTATTCCAATCTCATATACCATTCTCACTTGGGGTAACGTGTCTCAGACATGTTGCCCTACCCTAGTTTACTCATTTTCTAAACAGCATCTGCCAATGTGGAAAATGAGACTACTTATAAAGGTGAGAGATTTTAGCTTTTCTAAAAAGATTTTTGTAACGCTTAGTGCCAGAGAATGAGAATATTAAATTGACAGTAAATAGAGTAAATGGAAACTATTTTAACATTTATGCTTGAAACGTGACTCCAGTTTCAAGACTTTTTTTTTCTTTTTCTAATTCAAGTAAATGAAACCTATTTGGATAATTCAGTAATTTATTCTTTTTATTCATCTTGAATGTTGGGGGGATTTTCCCTAGAAATAAACACAAATATATAGAGTATGTAACAATTCAGTAACATAAAATCTAAAACAAAGAACTTATTAAGTGATGGATATTGTATGTGATTTACACATGCAAACTCATTAAGTCCTCACCACAACTTCTAGGAGGTAAATAATATATTATCCCCATTTTGTAAGTGGGGAAACTAAGGCATAAAGAAACTTCCATAGTTACTAAGTAGCAAAATTGGGGTATGAATCCAGGTAGTTAGGATTCTAGGTCTGCACTCAACACTGCACTAGCAGTTCTTACATTTTTGGGTCTCAGATCCCTTTCACACTCTTTAAAATACTGAGGACTGTGATGAGCTTCGTTTTTGTTGGTTGCATTTATTGATATGGTATTAGAAATTAAGATAGAGAAAATTAGAAAAGGTTTAACTCATTTAAAAGTAATAAAACCATTGCATGTTAACCTTAATATATTTGTATAAAAAACAACGATATTTCCTTAAAAAAAACTATAGTGAGATGAGTGGGTTTTTGTTTTTTTAAACATTTTTGCAAATTTCTTTAATATCCAGCTTAACAGAAAACAACCGGATTTTCATATCTGCTTCTGCATTCAATTTGTTGTATAATACATGTCATGCCAACCCTGGAAACTTCACTGTCCTCTGATAGGAGAACAAAGGCGAAACGGGCAAATAACATATAATTATTAGTATAAAAATTGCTTCGGCTTTGCAAAGCCCCTGAAAGGGTCTTAGGGACATCCAGGCATCCTGGGATCATACTATGAGAACGATGGCACTACACTTTACTGCCTCTGAGTACACAGGGAGAATGTCTTGGTTGAATTTTAAGTGTTCCTTAAGAAACAGTGTTTCTTCGAGTAAATTCCAGCCTGCTGTGGTAGAAGGAGCAGAGGCTGAGTAGCCAGAGACAGGGGTGCAACCCTAGTTCCGTGCGTGGGAGCTCTTGACCTTCACTAAGTTCTCTCCATCTCAGGTTCCTTATCTTTAAAATGAGGCTCATTACCAATCCCTTCCAGGGTCATCACAGGCTTTCCAAAAATTATGTGATAAGGTGCCTAACGTGCTGACACAAGAGGATGTCTGACCAAGTGTAGCTTTTATTTCAGATAGACTAACGACGGCCAGGGAGGAAGGAGAGGGACAACGACCAGCAAAAACGGAAGGAGAAAAGAGCTACCAAGGACGGATCCACAAACTCTCAGCTGGAAGCCTTTCAAGCCAGGTGTTTAGAGACTCAGATGTTTGGACTTTTAGGAATTTATTGGGGTGCATATACTGTAGATAATGTCAGACCTCCTTAAGACTTGGAGGACCATCTGATAATCAAACACATTTATACTTCTAGAGAGGGATATATTTCACTCATACCAAGGCCTAGAAATAGCCTTCTGTCTGGCCAGATTTTGATGCCAAAAGATTTACAAAAAATATTTCATTGTCCAGAACTCTGGGATTTGGGACTGTAGATGAGGGATTGTGGACCTTATTGAGCTTCTGTGCCAGCACCAAGCTAGGGATTGTGCCCACGCCCTTTCCTTTCATCCTTTCAACTCCATGAGCAAGAAGCAGACATCTAAGGATCTGGAGAGATCTTTGCCACAAGTGTTTGCCTTGCAATCAACTTTAGAGGACCCCAGGGTTGGAGCAGTGGCCTCTGGCTTTCTGATTATGGCTGTTGCCTGCAATTTAAAGTCCTAGTGTTCATTTTGTTTGAAGAGGGATGGAGGAGGAGTTAGACATGTGGACTGTGTGTGTGTGTGTGTGTGTGTGTGTGTGTGTGTGTGTGTTTCAAGATGAACCCAATAGCATCAACAAATATCTGAATGAGGGTACAGAAAGTTTATATTAAACTTGTTGAAAATCCACCTAGTCATGAACCTAATTTCCTGAAGAATAAATGTAAGGTGAGATGATATATTTTGGATACCAATAATAGAAATTGAACAAATGAAAACATTTCAAAATCTGCCTAAAAAAGCCCCAACTGATTGTTTTCATGTTTATAATCACAGAGAAACAAGCCCTAAAGTTGCCTGAAGATAAGTCCTGGCTATGAATTAATGTTGAACAACATGAAAAGATTACAGGTACTTGGAAACAAACTTCTGAGGAACTCATCAGAATTTCGAATTATGCAAGTATTACGAGAATACTTGAGAATTTCAAAATCATTTTAACTATCAATTTCTGTGGGATTTTATAATAATTTGCAGCTTCAATGACAAAATAATTTAAAATGATGTTTTCTAAATCTACTTACACAATTATTCTGACTTTATAGGAAATAAATTACATTTATTTGGACATCTATACATGTCACACACATTAATAGGTATTTTGTGGATTTCAACTTAAATACTTACATATTTCAAAATTGTAACCTCTTTAAGTTTGTCACTGTCACAAACTTGGCTTCATGGTACTTCAAATGTCCTCTTCCCAGCCAAAAAGCAGAAAATGATGTTTGTTAAAAGGCAGGGAAGTAGAAAAATAACTTTTTATAATACCTGTATCCAGTTAAGTAGATATGGCTGCTCTAGTGAGTTGAGACGACTTGATTTTTCTCCTTTCCCCTCCCCTCCTCTCCCCTTCCCTTCTTCCTTCCTTCTTTTCCTTCTTCCTTCCTTCCTTTATTCTTTCCTTCCTCTTTCTTGTTATTTTACCCTCCAAAAGTGGGTTTTAAAGTTTCTATATACAATAAATCACTGCTACTTTATTGCCTTTGTCATCTAGAATTCCTTCAGGAACCGCAATTACAATTGCAACAATTAGTTGAACCCAGGGCTTTTCCCAGGATTCCTGGAAACTAGGGTGTGACAGTAAAGCTGGGCTCATGGACGCCTATCTGACACGCTTACTGTGGACATGAACTCACTGCACGTGCTGGTAGTGGATGTGGTGGTGTGCAGCCCCCACCTCCCCTCCAGGACTCAGGCACTCATTTGCCCAGCTGCCAGGAGTGCTGGCTTTTGTTTTCTCCCAGATGAGTCTGTCTTTGGGAATCCCTCCCTTAGCAGAAGAGAGCTGCCCTGCCCAAGGCCCTACCCCTTCTGCCGTTGGGGTTTTGGGGGGCAGCATGCATCCTGTGGCTGGCTGGCCCCTTGCCTTGTCTAGACGACTCTGACAGCAATCCATGGGAATTGCTGAAGGCCTTTATTGCAACCGAGTCATAATTCAATTTCTCCCTCTATGGAATCCTTTTTCTCTTACTTCCTTATAGGTATTGATCCTAAAAGCACGCCCCAGTAAAAGTCCTGCATGTAAATCTCCACCTCAGACCCTGTTTCTCAGGTAAGCATACTTAAAACCACTGGTGCTAGGAATGGTCCGAGGAAGGAGACTCTAAAATGGAATGTGGAGCTGGGTCACCAGCTGACTGGCCACCAGGGAGGACACCCTCACTAGGGGTGGGTGGGTGGATTACCTACAGCCCCTGGCAGGCTGTAACTTTGCAATTGCTGCAACCTTCACTGTGGTGTACCTGCTGGAAGGCAATGCATTGGTAGGTCTAGTATCTGAGGTGTCTAGGGGTTCAGGGGAAGTGGTGATTATAAGTACAATAGAATTGGATGGCTGTTTCTGAGTGCTATAAAATGAATTAGAGAAAGGGGATGAAAGGATACAATGATTAATCACCAATTTAAGTCTAAGTGTGAAAGCCGGAGGGCCTATGGCAGTTTATAAAGAGATTCTCATCTCGGGCAGCCAGAAGTAGAAAAAAGCCAGGATCAAGCCTATAACTTAATTATAAGGCCAGGAGGGCTCCAGAGAAGGTTAAATTTTTCACCCCCAGCAAGTGTGCTATATCAAGGTCAGGACCCTGACTGGGAAGGAGTGAGATGCCAAGACTTGGAATAAGGATATATGTGTTTCTGCACCAAAAATCTCGAATCCTCAGATTCCCCTGAACCCTCTGGGCTCACTGCTCCCTATTAAAAGCTAGTGCTACCGTTGCTTGAAGACAGTGCAGGAGGTTTTTCTTGCAAGATGCAAGAAACATTTCTTGCAGCATGTTCTTAACTCAGGGTTGATCCTAACTCCATTCCTGGACACTAGGCCAGTAAACAGAATGGGGATCAGCAACTGCATTCTCCTGGCCAAATCCAGCCTGCAGTCTATTTTGGTAAATAAAGTTTTGGTGGAATACAACCATATCCATTCAATGACACATTGCCTATGGCTGCCTTCCTGCTACAATGGGAGAATTGAGTAGTCATGACAAAGTCCATATGGCCCACAAAACCTAAAATGTTTATGATCGGGTTCTTTACAGGTAAAGTTTGCTGACCCCTGAACTAGAGTCAAGTACAATGAAACTTGACAGGAGAAGTGCTGATTGTGATAAGGAAGGAAAAAATAGACACCAAAGAAGATGCAACACTGAGTCAGCAAGTACTAGCAGGAGTGGAAGAATATATATGGGATGAATCCTGAAGGGCCTCGGTTAAGAAGGATGCAATATATAGTTGGATACTGGAAACTTTATCTACATGGGAGCACTCCCCTGAGATAGAGAATTTAGCACTCTGCTTGGTTGACTCTTGGGGTCTCTTTGTTGACTCTTTTCTTTCTTAGAAATGCAGTGATCAACTATATGGAGGAGATATGTGAGAAATGCCTTAGCAGATGATGAAGAAAGAGATCAAAAGGCTCAGAGAAGCAGGAATGCTATGGTGGATATACAGTCAGCTCTCTGTATCTGTGAGTTCAACCAACCTCGGACTGAAAATATTCAGTTTTTGGGAAAAAAGTGGCATCCCATACTGAACACGTACATACATTTTTTTTCTCCTTGTTGTGATTCCGTAGTCAGTACAGTATAGTGACTATTTACATAGCATTCACATGGTATTAGGTATTATAAGTAATCTAGAGGTGATTTAAAGTGTAGGGGAGGGTGTGTGTAGGTTATATGCAAATCCTAGGCTATTTTATATCACAGACTTGAGTATCTACAGATTTTGGTATCCAAGGGAGGTTCTGGAACCAATCCTATATGGATGCTGAGGGACAGCTGTACACTGGTTCTCCCTATCCATGGTTTTGCTTTCCACAGTTTGTCAACTGTGGGCTGAAAATATTAAATAGAAGATTCCAGAAAGAAACAATTCATAAGATTTAAATTGCACATTGTTCTGAGTAGTGTGATGGAGTCTTGCACTGTCCCCCACAGGATTTGAACTGTCCTTTTATCCAGTGGATACACACTGTCTACACTTCCCTCCAGTTAGCCACTTCACCATCTCGGTGATCAGATCAACCATCCAAGTATCGCAGTGCTCGTGTTCAAGGCACCCCCATTTTACCTAATAATGGCCCCAAAGCACAAGAGGGGTGATACTGGCAATTCAAATATGCCAAAGGGAAGCCATAAAGTGCTTCCTTTAAGTGAAAAGGTGCAAGTTCTTAAGGAAAAAAAAAATTGTATGCTGAGGTTGCAAAGATCTATGGTAAGAACGAATTTTTTACCTGTAAAATTGTGAAGAAGGACAAATAAATTTACGCTAGTTTTGTGGTTATACTCAAACTGCAAAAGTGCCACAGTGCACGTATAGGAAAAAACATCATGTGTATGGGGCTTGGTACTATTCCTAGTTTCCGGCATCCACCTGTGGGATGGCCTTGGAACGTATTTCCAAGGGGCAATGTGTCCATGAGAAACTCAATGGTGGCTATCCCCTCCAGGGGAGGGCTGATACTGTAGACCGTGCTGGGGTTCTATAGAACTGGGATCTCTAAAAGCAATGGGGATGGTAAGATCCCAGATTGGTAGAGGCCAGGTGGCAGACCATAGGTAGCAGACCAAGAAGGATGCAATTATTATCATAAATGGAAAGGTTGGAGTGGCAGCCAGGGGTCCTCACCCATAGAGAGCTATGGAGATGGTTACTAGACCACAGTGTTATTAAGGGTAAGATAGAGGGGCACATAAGAATAATGCTAACACTTCACTGAAGAGTCATGGCCAATTTCTAGATCTAAGCCTGTCCTTTGACCCAGAACCTGTTGACTAGAGAAGTTGGTTTGAGGAGGGAGCCTGCTATACTATGGTAAGTGCATATGATAACAATTCCCCCAGTGTTTACTTGAAGGGATCTGTGGCCATTTACTTGGTTAACTGTTCAATGGGAAAAAGGGCAATCCTAGATATTTCCAGGACTCTTGGGCATGGTCCAAACTCCACTGATCTTCAGGAAGTTTTGTTTCATCCAGGCCCCTTGCTGAAGTGGGAGCTTATGAAGAGTAAGAAATAAGTCCAGACCCAGTCGATTTCACAAGGGATTCTTTGGCTCCATGGATCCACCTGGTGGTCATTTCTTCAGTCTCTGGATGTATAATTGAAATCCATAGTAGTCAACAGAATCTTCTCATTAGTTCCTCGGTTTGTAGGGCCAACCAGTATGGTCTGTAGTGAAGAGGGCTACATAGAAGCCTCTGAAACTTTCTTACCATGGCCAAGAGAATAAATAAAAACAATATGACATCCAGGGAAATGGCCAAGAAATCTGGCACTCTAAACATGCTCAACACTACAAGTGGTCCCCATCATGTCCCCATTTAATTATCATTCTGTCCCCCTTCAGAACCAGGGGTCCTAATAATTGACAGCGGATCTCCATGAAGTCAAGTGATTACTTAATATATCTATTACCACTACCAAATGTCCAAGCTTCCAGCAACAGAAACCAACACTGAACTCTTCAACAAACACAGTCCCCAGAGGAGACTAACCAGCCACTTGTTAGCAACTTGATTACATCGGATCCCTTTTAATCTGGAAATGTCAGTAATTGATTTTGACTGGTATTGACACATATTCCAGATATGGCTTTACCTTTCCTACCAACAGGGTCCCAGGCAGCATGACCCCTACAGGCTTGCAGATTATAAGATAAACTGACTTGGAATCCTGCATTACGTGACTGTGGACCACTGGCCCCATTTTATAGCAAAGGAAGAACAACAATGGACATATGATAGGATCTACTGGTCTCATCCCATAACACCATCCAGAAACTGCCTATCTACTAGAGTTTTTTTAGTTTTTTAGTTTTTTAGCACAGCTAAAGTGCTAGCCTGCAGATGATGTGTTGTAAGGACAGGGTGGCATTGAACCAATGTCCATTATATAGTGCTATGTTTCCAGTAGGTGGGATTGATGGCCTCAGGAAACAATGATTGGGGCCTGGTGTGGTGGCTCATGCCTGTAATCCCAGCACTTTGGGAGGCCAAGATGGGTGGATCACTTGAGGCCAGGAGTTTGAGACTCTCCTGTCCAACATGGTGAAACCCCGTCTCTACAAAAAATACAAAAATTAGCCAGGCATGGTGGAGTGTTCCTATAGTCCCAGCTACTCAGGAGGCTGAGGCAGAGAATCAATTGAACTGGGAGGTGGAGGTTGCAGTGAGCCAAGATTGTGCCACTGCACTCCAGCCATGTGGCAGAGTGAGAAAAGAAAACAATAAGAAAACAGTGATTGGAAGTAGGTCTGGCTCCACTACCATTACTCCCAATGACCTGCTTGAGGAATTTGTGCTTGCTTGCCTCGCACATCTAGTCTCTCCTGGGTCCTTATCTCCAAGGGGAGAATGCTTCTACCAGGGAACACGGCAAGAATTCCATTACACTTTAAGTTCCAGCCGCTGTCCAGTCGTGATCACAGCCACCCAGGTGACTCATTAGGTTGTCTCTTGGTACCCCCTTGCCAGATCTTCATGGTAAATTAGCAAGTACAGTAGCCATGGGTGGAACTTGGTTATGCCACCAAGCATGGTGACGCAGGGCTCAGGGTCCCCTGGGATGAAAATCTGGTTATCCCACCAGGTAAGCCACCCAGACTACAGCAGTGCTGTTTAAAAGTGTGATAGTAGAGGAGGGAGACCATGACACCAGATGTAGTCACTGAAAGGGGCTGAGATTTGTCCCAATAACCTTCCTCTTACCAGTTTCCAAAGAAAAATAGATCATTGAGAATCCTATGGAGCTATTCTCAGAGGGGATGAAGTTACTACATGAAGGAGGGAGGCTAAAGGTAGGGGCTGCAATGTGAGGGGAGATACTCCCCACATGTCTCCTTCAGGATCAAAACTTTCATTTCTAAGCAGTCAGAAGAGTTGGTTTCTCACTCCTGCAAAAGTACTCATCCGTGAGTCCCTCTGGCGATTGACTCTTGGCCAAAAGGAACTACTTTTTCCAATACCCATTTCCGTGGGTATTGGATTTATGTGAGAATACAAGGGCCTCGCCCCCTTGCCTAGATTATGAAAGCTCTGAAGGGCCTTTCTGCTTGGTCTTTTCTTGGTATCTGCCATAGCCTCTTGCAACCGCATCACAGTTCTACTTCTCCGTGTGCCCAATCCTGCTTCCCTCACCCCTCCCAGGTGATGTTTCTGAGAACATTCCCCAATAAAGCTCCTGCATGTAACTTTCCATCTCAGAGTCTGGCTCCTGGGAACCTGTCCTGAGAGTGTGACCTGCTTTAAGCATCTTATAAATGCCTCTATTTTCCTAATTGTTATAATTACGGGGTTAAAAACAAACCAGTGATTAAGTGCAAATAATTTTTTCCTCACAAACTGAAAATTAAAATATTCAGTAGTTTCATTCAGCTGAACATATTTTACTGGACACGAAGGGCTTTGTTTCTTTGGGGAGTCAACTCCACATAGCATCTTCCCTTTAATGAGCTTTTGGCGTTTCAATCATTTATTTTTAATCAAGTTTTAAGCCACTGTTTAGATGTTTCCAAAGTATTTTTACAATGTAGTATGTTTTTAAAATTAGGTCTCCATCTGTCATTATATGGAATGTGTGTGGGCATTAGTGAATGGACTTATTTTTACCCTCTGAACGCTATTAGTTTGCTTAACCGTATCCCTGGAAAAGAAGTGTCACTACAAGTGATCTTTTCTTCCCTTCACTCACAATTAATTTTGCTTTGTTTTGTGATCCAAAGCTTCAGGTTTTCAAAAAACCAAATCAGCACCTTAACCTGTTTAAAGAGGAGCACAGAAAATTGTTCTGCAGAATTTATGTTCTCTTTCCATCTTCAAATTATTTCATTGCCACAACAAAGAAGTTCACTGAGCATATCACAGACCTCTTCATTCTGAATTTCTTAGATTGATAGTTTTCATGCTCCTTCTATTAACACTTAAATTGGTGATGGTGTAAGGTGCCAAAAAATGTAGAAGATGATCAGTCTTTTATTTTAATCACCAATTTCAAAACTAATCAGATAATACTGGAGTGATTCCATTTCAAATGCAGATCAGAAATCAGCACATAATATATGTAGTAGGATTTTCTCACAGATCTTTTTATAGTTATTTCTTCCATATCTTTCTAGTCCTGGCATATATGGAATTTCTTTTCTATAGGTTTTGATGTACTCATATGCATCACTTTTTAGGGTTATTATTATTATTATTATTATGGAATGTTCCAAACATACAGAAAGTAGAGAGAATAGGATAATGAACCTTCATGGACTCATCTCTCAGCTTCAACAGCTGTCAACAATTTGCAACTCTTGTTTCATCTACTCATCTCCGCCTCCTCTCTCCTTCCCACCACATACAAACACACACACACACACACACACACACACACACACACACACACTTTTTTTCCCTGGAATATTTGAAGCAAATACTAGATATCATATTATTTTCTTTGTAAATTCTTTATATGCATTTAAGCAGCAAGACTTAAAAAAATAACCACCTAGGTATTATCATACCAAACAAATAACAAAAATACCCCAAATATTCTAATACCAATTCATATTCAAATGTCTTTAATTGTCTTAAAGTTGTTCTTTTACGGTTGGCCTATTCGAATAATATTAATAATAATATCTCTTAGCTATTTCAGTCTACATCGTCCCTCCTCCTTGCTCCTCAATTGTTTTCATGCCATTGAATTTGTTAGAAAAATCAGATTATCCTTTAGATCTACATTCTAGATTTGCATAATTGTTTCTCTGTGATGTTTTTAACTTGTTCCTCTGTTTTTTCTATTTCCTATAAACTGATAGTTAGGTTTGAGTCTTAAATTGATTAAGGTTAAAATGCTTTTTAGATTATAATATTTCTGATGCTATGTACTTCCTGTGGAATCAGACCATGAACTGGTGACGTCCGTTTGCTCCACTTTTGATAATGCCAGGAATCAGTACTGGTGATGTCACGATGCTCCATCCTCTAAAAGTTGCCCGTAAGTATTTCACCTGTGATTTTAACATTCACTGATGACCATTGCCAGATCCAGGGTTTCATGATGGATTGAAATGACAATTTTCTTAATCTGTCCTTCCTTCTGCATTAGTTACCCATAATTCTGCTATAAAGACTTATCCTTATCAAGTATTTGGCTGCCCTGAGTTACAGTTTGTACAAGAAAGACAGGATAAATTCTTGATTCTTTCTATGTATTTATCAATTTTCAGAGTAATGAGTTGGTGCTCTTATAAGTAAGTTTTTAAAAAGTATCATTATGAACTCATTGATTTTTATGTTTAATGATTTAACTGAGAGTGATTATGATTCTTTTGGGTAGTCGCATTGTGTCATTTTGGGATCGTTTTTCAAGTTGGTTTCCTTTGGACGTGACCTATTTAGTCTTTAGTAGCTTCTTGCTTTCTTGCATTTCAAGATGTCCCAGACTCATCTCGTACATTTCAGATTCCATACAGATTCCCCAAAAGGTGACTTACTGAGCCAAAAGCAATAACTATTTTTTTTTTTTTTTTTTTTTTTGAGACGGAGTCTTGCTTTGTCTCCCAGGCTGGAGTGCAGTGGCCGGATCTCAGCTCACTGCAAGCTCCACCTCCTGGGTTCACACCATTCTCCTGCCTCAGCCTCCCGAGTAGCTGGGACTACAGGCACCCGCCACCTTGCCCGGCTAGTCTTTTGTATTTTTTTAGTAGAGACAGGATTTCACCGTGTTAGCCAGGATGGTCTCCATCTCCTGACCTCGTGATCCGCCCGTCTCGGCCTCCCAAAAGAATAACTATTTTTAAGGTAGTTTGACATAGTGGAAGGGTATGGTCTTTGGAGGTAGGTATGGTCTTTGGAGGCAGGAGGTCTAGGTAGGTTAGGGTTAGAGTCTCAGCTCCATTGCTTATGAGCTCTGGGGTTTAGAAAAGCCTTAACCTCCCAAAATGATGATAATAGGAACTCCTATTAGAAAGAGAAAGGTAATAACAGAAAATTATTTTACTCTAGTGTAAGTGGAAAAAGCAGAGTTCACAATGATATAAAATGCATAAAGAAACTATTGTGATCAAATATGCTACAGTGTTAATGATGGCATCATCTGATGGTGGGAATACAGGTTATGTTTCTCTTTTTTAATGCCTTATACTGTATTTTTCTATATAACAAAGAATAGAAATAAAAAGATAAGTTTGTTCAAAGAAAAATAAGCCTCTACTGCAAATCCTATAGTGATGATTAAAATTCATTTAAGATATGATTCATGGCATATGCCTTTTGTATCTCTCATGGTCAATTGAATCCACTTTTCCTTTAACAAAATTTAATGCGAATTCTGTAATAAAGAAAAATATTGATGTAAGTGTACTCTGCCATCTGGTTCCTTTCTCTATGCCATGCCATATTGATTTCAATAGACCAGGTCAAAGCTGAGTGTTTCCTGCTTTCAAGGTTGACCTCTGAAGGCCTCCTACTGTTTCGCCTCCTTGCTCCCTGGGGAGAGCTGCTAAGTCTTTCGTTGACAGCTGAAGGCAGGATAAAATAAAATCTCCATTTGACATGCTTATAAATCATTTTTCCTATGGGACAAGATTGTTGGTGTTGGGTGCTCACTGAAAATCATCTTATTGATCAGAAAACTAAGCCAATTGGTTCTTTATTCACTTGAGGATTCAGATTGACTAATCAAAGATGAATTCATCTTGTAATCTTTTAAAACTATGACAAATGATTTAAAAAAACTTTTGTGGAAGATGTTTGCAGCAGTTTCTAATCTAAGATTCAATCTGATTTTCAGAAATGATACTTTGATCTTGGGGTTGAGGGTCCTAATTTCCTCTTTAAAATGGACATTAAAATTCAGCACGCATTTGGAGTACAAGGAAGGGTGATGATCACAGATAAGTTTTTAAAATTTTTTTTCTATTTGTATATATCTTATTTCTTTTTTTTTTTTTTTTTTTTGAGACGGAGTCTCGCTCTGTCGCCCAGGCTGGAGTGCAGT